ATGATGGTAGTGGTGATAACTATGATGGTAGTGGTGATAACGATGATGGTAGTGGTGATACCTATGATGGTACTATCGAAAGATAATACTGATGAAAACAAAAACAAAAACGATAAAGACTTTTCGTTTTTAGCAATCGACTCAAAACGACCAACTGTTGTCTTCTTATTGATGATGAAAAATAGCCAATCAGCGCAAGAGAAATTTAAAAAATAAGTTATTGTAAAAAGACGATCAATGACAAGAGACGATGCCAGCTGATAAACATCCAAAATGCTTAAAGTTACGTTGATTGAAGAGATGTTTGTGCTGCTTTTATGTTGATTCAATATTTAATGACTAAAGACCTTTAGGGTTCATGACTTACAGATACTCTTAGACGAGGCAGATTAGCCAACACTTGCTGGAAAAGCTCTGAAAAATATAGAATTCCCATTAATCTGATCCCAAAAAAACTTATGTTAAACTATGTTTTTTTTTCTACTTTCTTTCCCTTTCTCATTCCTTTTTTCCCCTCTCATTTCCATATTTCAGGTAAAAATTTAAAAAAATATTTTTCTTACCTGGTTTATTTCTTTTAAAAAAGAATTTTGACTTCTTAAAAAGTCCTCGAGACAACCTATCCTCGTGCAAGTTATCATCGAAAAAACCTGAGCAGAAAAAATATACTGACTTCATGAGAACGTCAAAAGTTATTCTCACTTTAAGATATAAATAGATAACAAATAAAGCTTATGTATGCACGTATGTATATGTACAATGGGTTTAAAGATCAGATTTTGATGACGATAATAAAAATAAATAAATCGTCTTCGTTTTTCGAGGGTAACACTTAATAGACCCTTGCACTAATTCCCAATCTGGGGTTGAGAACTGTTGATTTTTAAAGAAAGAGAAAAGCGAGAAAACTCAGAGAAAACCCCTCAAAGCAAAGGAAAGAACCAAGCAGCGACTCTAGTCACATAAGATAGCCTGAGTATCGAACCAATAAGCATAGCGGTGAGAGGCAGCGCGCAATAGCAGCGCACACCTTCGGCATACTTTCCGAGATCAGTACATCCATGGATTGAAAACATTAACCTACCTAATACAACTGTGTTGGCTCTCATACTTCCGAGGCCTGATGTCTGAGGAGAAACATAAGAACGTAAAGCAACGAAAGAAGAATGTTCGAGGGGTTATCGTAAAAGTGGTAACATATGGTACTGACTTACACATACCGTAACATTGAAATGGCTTCCCATTGTCTTCCACTGAGTAATTCATCCAATCACGACGCGTAGTTACGGTTGCGTTAAGATACGGTACGYCTAGAGCACGGCTACGAATTTACCGTATCGTTTCCCACTCATACGAAAACTATTTCAATCAAGTCAATCAAATCTCAACTTACCAGTATCAGATTCTGTGCACCCTGACGTACAGACGGCGCGATGGTCAACTCAACGAATGACTTGATTTCAGCACAATCAACAAAGCTTAACCAGGAACCGAGGTCTTTTCTGTGCTTCTCCACAGCCTGAATGACGAAAGTAATTAACGTGGTTTTAAAAGCAAGTAGTTCAGGATTCCTATAATGGGAGTGAACTGAATGCCAATGCCAATTAAAGATCCTACCATTTCAGGATTTACTCCAACTAAAATCCAAACCGTCAGAACAGCTACAAAACGTCTTTACATGGTGTTTAAGTTTCCTCATTATTCACTTTTTTTAAGAATGAATTTTGTTTCTGTGATTCAAGAAAAATGTCCAAGATCGTGAACAACTTTGGGTACGGACATTCTGTGCCGTAATGGTCTAGTGCCCCGGTTTCTAGATTGAATAAGTTCTGGTCTCGTACTAGCCTTCTCCGCAGGCTACCCCATATATTCTCTGTTGGGATCCCTGTGTTAAATTTTATCGCAGACAAGAACTAGGACAAACTATAGAGGAGGAGGAGTGGAGACGAGGGAGAGAAAAAGCGAGAGGAGTGGCATCTCCTCATCTTCTTTCTTCCTCCCCTCCCCCTTTGTCTTTTTTGTCCTCGCCACAGGAAGTCCAAGGATCAAAAAAGAGCAAAGGAGATGCCTGTGAAGACGCTGTTTTCTATTAAACGAATGACGTTCACGTATCTACCATGATCCGTTGAGTGTCAAATTTCATTTATAGAAAATGTTCTGCAATGAGTAACAAAGTCATATAAAGATATTCTTAGGCCTATTGTTTGTTGAAGTTCAAGAAAACTATGTTATTGAAAGTCCAGGTTGAAGCTAGCACTTACATCAGGATTAAACTCATCTACTTGCACATGTCCAATGATGTACATCCCGCTCTGGRAAAAAAATCAAACATAGGTACAACGGATGTTAAAGGAAACTCTAGCCCCCTCCCACCTCCCAAACACTTAACAAAAATATTGTTGTAAGAGGCGAGTGCTCTTAACCCTACGATACCAGTGCTGCTTCATAGAATTTGCGCCGGATAAAGTGTTAACATGATTATCATATGTTTAGTGTACCTTTTTGATATCGTTAACAAAGTCGATAAGATTGTAGCTTGAACGAGGATTGGACACGAGGAGAAGAACCTGTGAGGAAAGCAATTAGTTCTAATTAAAATCGAATGTTTTAAAGAATGTTATTTTTTACGGTATCATATGGAACATGCCGGCATTTCACCAACCTGTGGTCTCCAGAATTTCACATGGTCTTTCCTAATGTCGAGTCGCAGAAGATACTTTCGAACCTGAGATAAGACAAACACGCTAAACAGTGAGGGACAACTATTGATTCGAAGGTTATAAAATCATGACTTCAGCAAAATGTTTTTCCATTTTAGACCACGTATCATTCCCTAGAGAATAAGATCTTTTTCTTTGAGTTGCACCATAAACAAAAAAATGATACTGTAGGGAATGAAACTTTGTCTGAAATGGGAAAACATTACACCGGCCCAAGGTAAAGACATCGATACCTATATACGATAGTATACCTGATGATAGATGAGCGCTTGGGATACATCACCCCATGGAGTAATGGGAGCACGTAGAGAAATAAACACGAATAGCATGATCATGACAGCTGGAATACAACAAGGTATAACAATTAGGCAGGCAGGCAGGCAGGCAGGCAGGCAGCACTATTTTCAGTGAGTAGTATTCCTGTAGCCGTGGATTACTGGTGCTTACCTACAGAAATAGTTGCGTACAACGGATTGATGCAGAACATGATGACGAAACAGAAGACAGCCCCAAACAATGCTGAAAAAATATCAAGGGAAATGAACGTGTTTAAATAACGCCGTACCATACTGAAACCTTTATTAGCGAACATGAGCTTGGGTACAAACATCTTTTGTTTACAATGCCTTACATGGTATTGTTTGTACCCAAGCTAGACCACAATGCACAATGCACCAAAACATTTCACAACACTCGAAAATTAATGATAAAAAAACATCATTTAAAGCTCAATCGTTGGCACTGACCCGTCTGCCATGAAAAGTACTTGAAGGTTGGTCTATAAAGAAAAACGAGAAAAGAATAGTTTGTTGACATTCGTTTAACCTTCATGATTGCTGCTTTGCGGCAGCACTTGCTCGACTAATTTGTTGGGTCCTATTGATAGGCCCTCAAAGAGTATTCTAGGTACTAGACCTCCACAATTTTAGCCCACCACAGGATTTCCGTTGCCTTCCCCTGGTTCCCTGCTCCCTAGCTTTTCAATCTTATTTCCTGTGCCTTACTCACACGGCAGCCATGTTTATTTTCATGGGAATTTATTCTCAAGCAATAAATATATGTTAGACTACGCATGGAAAAATCTAGTATTCTAGTCAACATGGCTGCCGCATGAGCAAGGCCCATTCCTTAATCCTTGGAGCTCTTAGGTACTGCGCCGAGAGGGAAGAGAGGGACTTTTTGGTATACGTACCTGAAATTTGGCGCTGAAGCAACTTTGAGTGCGAAACAAGCCAGGTTTGTAACGCCATATGACAACAAGAAAAACATACTGACTAGTGGTGCTACTTTGTTGACTTTACCCAAGAATAAAACGATCTGGAAACAAAAGACGGTGTTTTACAGTTGTGCTTCTCAAAAGCATGCGCGGAATCGTACGATTTGCGTCACGTCAAGATACGGTTTTGGTGGACGTCAATCAAAGTGTTTCCATGACATTTGCTGTCACGTCAAAATAGGGTTTTGGTGGACGTCAATCAAAGTGTTTCCATGACATTTGCCGTCACAACAAAATAGGGTTTTGGTGGACGTCAATCAAAGTGTTT